GGGGTGCAGGGTCTTGACCATGCCGAGGCACCGGCTGAGCCCACGCATGGTTGTGGCAGCACATCCGCACCAGCCTGGCACGTTAAATGCAGAGCACAGCCCCACGGGGCATCCTGGCCTCAGCGGTGCCAGCCACCAACCAGCTGAGCTGGCACAGCAGACACAGAGCAGAGACACGGGGCAGCATCCGACATCGCGCAGAGCAGTCGTGGGTGCCAGCCAGCCCCGGGGAGATGCTGGCACAAGCCCTGGATCTTCGCTGCAGGGGGACCATGGCAGTCCCCAGGAGGTGCCAACGCAAAGAGGAACAGCAAAGGACCGGCCTCGCTCCGGCCCTGTCCCGGCTCAGGAGGGGCCAGAGCCTGGCTCCGGGTGTGTGGGGGGGTAGATAAGATGGAGGCACCAGTGTACCCAGCCAGCGGCGGCCAGGCCCAGGGCAAGCTTTGGTGTTTAACCGCACTGTAAATAGATGAGCTAAAACCATTAAAGCTGCTGAACACGTTGGCCGAGTGAGCTCGCTTTATTGGGGCGCAGCAACCAGGGTGCCTGCTCCTGCCTGCCCCCACTGCCTCCCAGGCAGGGAGATGTCCGGGCTCCCTGTGCCCCCCTGGGGTGGGCAGCGCGGCAGATGTGTGGCAGAAGGGGTGTACCCCCGAGGTCCCTTGTTGTGCATAGATATGAGTATATTGTGCCTAGGGGGTCACATGATTTTTTTGATTAAAAAACTGTGGACAAGATATTTGCTCAAGAGCAAATCTGAGTTTAGGCAAGCATCTGAAAATATTGTTCCCAAACTTATCGTTAAATATTGCTATCCGATTTCCACACAGTAAAGGCAGCAATCTAGAACTTTTTTACCTCATCCAAAACACCCTGGGACAAGGTAATCAGCAGCAACAGCAAAAGCCTCTGACATGTTCTATTTCCCTCTTTGTACCAAATTCTTACAAAACCTGCTTTCCTTCAGTCACCACTGGAAAGTGCATGAGCACAAGAAGCAGGCACAGCTGACATCTACAGCTGAGCCCAGGTTTTCCTAGTCAACAGAGCTCTTTTATTTAAAATTCTGCACCCTTCATCATGTAAATTATAGGTTACAGATGCTGTTGAGCTGTTTGGGAGGTCTGGCCTCAGGTGTGGCAGAGAACATTCAATTTGCCCTTGGATTCTCCTGCGTATCTGCTGCCATTTGACTGACACAACCCATTCTCTCCAGCTGCTTTCAGGTAGACCTTTGAGAGGCCACAGTTTAGGCAAACAGGTTTCAAAGGCACTCATGAAACAGAGAGCTGTGCCATTTTGCAATGGCTGTGTAACTGCTGTGCTGGCTTTACGAGAGCTACAAAGTGTGGGGATTTTTCTTAGCTCTTCTCCACTTGAAGAGTGGAAACGACCACATCAGGCACTCCCAGCTCTGGCTTATGTTTGACACAGTCACTACGGCTCACACAGGTACTACTAGCAGATTAGGTACCACAACACAGAGACTCTTCAGCACCGTCCAAGATATGCATGAGCTTTTGCTAAGCATTTAAAGACAGAAAGGTGAGGAGAAAGGAGTTGGACCGCTGGACCCGGGCGCGAGGCCGGGAGGGGAGAACGGCGGAGGGGAGGGTGAGGGCAGCTCCTGAAAACACAAAGCAGAAGGTATTTGAAGCAGCAGGTGCTCCCTAGTGTGTAGAGACCCCGATTGCGGCGCGGGGCGCAGGGACCCCTTCAGGAGGTCATCCCTGGCCCGGGCATATCTTTCTCCAGAGATATAGCACCCATGCGCCAGCAAAGATGGGTACGTGACGGACCCCTGACCTGTGCTGAGGGGGTACAACAAGCCTCCTCAGGGACGCCTGAGCTCCCTCCCTCACCCAGCGCGGGCTTTATCACCCTGCCTCGACAGGCAGCCAGGCCAGGCTTAGCCTCAGCGGGACTGACCTGCCCAGCAGAGCCCCCAGCCCCAGTGAGCTCCTCCACCACCAGACGCCAATGCGGCCATTGAAGTCTCCCGTCCAGAAGCCGTCGTCCACCTCGCCCTCCGCCCGGGGCAGCACGCGGATGATGGCGCCCTCGGGGAAGCTCAGCTCCTCGGGGCTCTGCCCCTCGTAGTCGTAGAGGGCTCGCACCAGCCAGGCTGCGGAGAGAGCAGGAAGCTGCTGTCGGCTGCCTCAGCGCACGGCACAGACCAGAGCCTTCCGCCTGGGAGGACCAGTTCTGTTTCCAGGGTGCTCAGCATCCGTAGCTGCTGCTGTTGGGGGTGCTCAGCCCTCCTAGGCACGGCCCCTGTGAGCGCAAAGGGGATGCTACTCCTTGCACTAGGGACAAGTCGGGGGCCGTACTACACGAGGAGAGACGGAGGTTGAACCCCAGGGGACATGGCTTGGTGCCTGCACTGTGGAGACTCATCAACTATGCTACCCAGACTAGGGTGACACCCCTTGGGCACCCACCTCCGGGCTCCAGGACCAGCTCCACGGCCATGATGCTGGAGAGCTGCCGGTGCAGGGCTGTCTCCGAGGACTCTGCAGCGTTGCCCCCAGCTGCAGAGCCTGCTTCGCTGCCTGCACAGCCCAGGGACAGCAGGTACTTCTCGGGGACATAGCCGACCTGGCCTGCCTTGTTCCGGGCCTGGAGGGGCAGAAGCCACATTACAATCCCAGCAGTGCACCCAGGTGACCGTGTTCGCCCCAGCCCCCAGACTAGGACAGCCCTCACAGGTGGGGACTCACAGGGACCCCCCAAACTCTCCCCAGCGTTGGGATGAGCCAGATCCTGCAGCCCTGGGTAGGGAGAGGAGGGGACCTCAGGGATGCTCAGCCCGATGCTCCTTCCTCGCCACCCACACCCACCTTCACCCACTCCTCGACATCACCGTCCTCGATGATCTCCAGCTCCTCTCCCTGAGCGATGGACAGCTCATCTGCCTGGCAGCCCTGGGCAGGGGGGACATGGCACAAAGTGGTAGAAAGGCTTCCAGGGCTGGCCTCGGGCAGAGCACCAAGAGCCCTTGGGAACTAGCTACAGTGCTCCAACAGCTGCTTTACCTGGTATCCGAAAATCACCCGGCAAGTATAAGGATATGTGCGGGCAGCAGGGCCAGGGTCGACGTCTTCAAACAGGTCAACGCTGTCATCGTAGTCGTCAAACTCCGCCAGGTCGAACTCTTCTGTCTAGCGACAAACCTTGTGTCAAGAGGGACCAGAGGAGGGTCCCTCCCCCTGCTCCCCGCCAGGGGTGCTGCCAGCCACCCGGGCTCCCGGCACTCAGGCTGCTCTCACCGCAGGTACCAACTCCTTCTCGGCCTGCTGGGCTGCGCTTAGGCTCCGCTCACGCTCCAGCTCCTCCAACGCCTGCGCCACGGCCCCTGCCAGCCAGGCGTCCACATCCAGCCCGGTTGTGCGAAGCAGCGCTAGCCGGGCATCCGCCTTCACCTTGCTGACCTGTGGGGAGGCTGTGGGCTGAGCTCGGTCAGGCCTCAGCCTGCCTTCCTGGCCCGAGGCCCGACCTAGCGCTGCAGTGTTGCCGGAGGTTGGGCAGTGGAATTTGGGGGATAAAGCAGAACTGGGCTACCAGCGTGCAAGCACGTGCAGATAAAGGACAGGATGATCAGAGGCAGTGTGGATGGTGGTGTTCAGGGTCCAAGATGACACCCATGGCATGTGAGCCCAGCCCAGCGAGCCTAATCCCTGGGGATCTGCTCCGGGGAGCGGGTGCTACTGCAGCACAGCATCCCCCATCTGCCTTGCCGCTGCCTAAGGTCTGTGCCGTGCTGCCACTGCTTCACAACCCCCTGTCCACCCAGGGGTGTGATAAACTGCTTGTGGTACCCAAGGTCACCACCAAGCCTCCTGGCTTGGGGAGCTCCAGCTCGAGGTGGGCTCAGGGAGCAGGGACTGCTTGCCTCTGCCCTGCTGGACCCACCTCTGCCTTCCGGATGTTCTCTCTCACTTCCTCCATCCGTCGCTCCATGGCGGCCACCTCTGCCTCCGGGGCCTGCCGCCTCCTGGTCTCCAGCCTCTGCAGGACCTGTGTGAGCAACCACAGCTCACTAGGGCTCACAAACACAGGGGAGCGTGAGGGAAGGGGCTGCAGCCTCTGCTCTCTCCCAAAGCCTTCCAGGACACAGTGTCTCCGTGAGGAAGGACGACCTGTGCCAAGCACCCACCTGCTCGCTGTGCATCTTGATTTTGTAGTCCTTGGCTGCTCGTGTGGCCCAGCGCCGCACCTCCTTCTCCAGGCTGCTCTCACTGGCGCTGCTGCTCTCTGGCTCCAGGAGACACATCTAGGCAAGGATGGCACGGCTGAGAAGGGCTTGGGTGCCCAGCCTGTTGCCAGACCAGCCTCACAACATACCTGGTCCACACCAGCGAGCTGAAATCGCTGCTCTGGTGTCATCGTGAATGCAGTGTGGTCCTGGAGGAAGAGGAGGAGGTTCTGCTCCCGGCATATCTGCAGTGGTGGGGAGAAGATGCATGGGACCGGGGCGGGATGCAGGGCTCACTCATCCCCTCCATCAACCAAGCACTGTCCGGGATACAAAGGGACCAGCGGAGGCCAGCCCCAGCCCTGGGACAAGGAGGGATAGCTTCACCTGCGTGGATGACTCCAAAACACGCTGGAACCATTCCTGAGTCGCCTGGCAGATCTCAATCTCCGTCTGGCTGATCAAGGTCAAGTGGTCCCGGAGCCGCTCGTAAAGGTCACCGTCCAGGGCCTGGGGAAACCAGGCTGGGAGGCAGGAGAGCCCTGCACACCCTGCAGCACCCACGGTGCCCGCACAGAGCTGAGGAGTGGGGCACCCCGAGAGCCTGCTCATCATTTGGCCTCTCGCATCTCCCAAGAGCCCAAGCAGGGAGCACATCCCTGCCAACCCCTGGGGGAGCCCGTGGACAGCCCACCTGTGCTGCCCACACGGCGGGCTGAGGACAATCCTCAAGCTGGGCACGAGGGACCTGCCACATGCCCAAGAAATGCTCTGAGGCAGGCAGAGGGCAGCCATGCACGTGGGACACCCTGCTGCACCCTGCCCCAGCACCTCAGGTGCAGTTAGACCCTGTGTCTGGCATTCAGCCAGGCTTGGAAGACGTTTCTTCAAGGACCTGGATGGGCATAGTCAGAGACCCCTGCTCCCAGCATAAGGAGGGACAAAGCTGGTGAGGAAAACCAGGAGTCAGAGCAGCTCTTACCTCCATGACAGCAGGCAACTCCACACGGTAGTAGTGGTCCAGGTGGGCATTGGCAGACACCAGCGTGAGGACGTACTCATTGTGCACCCCTGTGAGCTTCTTTGAGTACTCAGCCAGCTGCGCGGAGAACTGTGGGACAGGGAGAGCTTGGTCTGGTGACCTGGTGAGGGACACATCCTGTCCCAGGCCTGGACCAGCCCTGCCACTGCCCTTGTATTCAGGGACCCATCTGTTTTTGCATTGCTGACCTTGGCACTTAGCTTTTGAAGGCTGGCCTTAGTGTGAAATATCCCCAGGTCGATCTTACGGAGCATGAGGAGAAAGGAGCACGAATGATGTCGTGGCTTCATGGTCCATCCTCTCTGCTCCTGCTGCAGCCCCACCGTCCCCTCCTTCTGCTCCGCTCACCGGGCCTCCACATCAGCGGCTTTGTCCTTGGCCACTTCGTTGCTCCGCTGGAGGTGCGTAAACTGCTTCTTCGCCTTGCCCAGTTCCTTCACCGTCTCCAGCAGCTCGGCCTGCACCTTCTGCAACTGCTCAATGCTCTGGGGTAGGGGGAAACGTCAGCCCCAGGACTGGTGGCCCCGCCACCCTTGCTTGGGCACGGGGGCCGTGAACTCCTTTTGCCACGAGCGCTCCCTGCAGCTGTCCCCGGCCATGGGGCATATGCCCTTGTCTTGCCTGCGTACCTTCTTGAGCATCCGCTCCTTGGACACGCGAGCAGTCTTGGAGGCCTCCAGGGCGATGGTGCGATAGCTCTCTGAGGCAGTGACACGGGCCTGCCCGGTGTACATGGTACCGTCAATGACGCCCTTCCAGACAGCAACAACGCTCCTGCAGGCACGGATGCCAGGGAAAGGGGTTAAACTGGCACGTCCTGCCATGGGGCTCTCCTGCTTCCACGCCAGCTCTCGGCTCAGGACATCACTAGCCACCCCACCCCTGCAGTCTCTTCCGAGTTGGGTACCACATCCTTAGAGATGGCCTCACCAGGGCTGCATCTCTGGAGGGAGAGCCTCTCAGGCACTGCCAGGCACTTGACTCCTGGTCTGAATTAGCCCCTGTCCTGCCAGCCATGCTCCTGGCTGGGAGGCCACGTACCTGGCCACCTTCGACCTCTGGGCCACAGCTACCCCCAGCCCCTCGCCACCCTGCCCCAGCCACCTCGCCTGCAGCCCACCTCGAGTCGTTGGCTTCACTGCGGGCCCGCTGCCAGTCTCTCTTCTGGAACTGGCTTGCCAGTCTCTGCAGTGCCTGTGGACACACCTCCCATCACCGGCTGCTCCGCTGCCCAGTCGGGCATCCCAGGCACATGGGCCTGCTCAGCCGAGCTCACCGGCTATGCGTTCCCGCACCGGGGAATGAGGCTGTGCTTCCCCACATCGACTGTCCGCTTCGTGGGTGTCCCCAGAGCAACGGGGCAAGAGGGGACCCTGCGGTCATTTGAGGCTGATGGGGACCCAGGAGTCTGGAGAACGAGGGTCCTGGAGTCACTCCTTGCAGGAAAAGCCCATGTGGCTTCTGCTCTGCCACAAACAGTGGGAGAAGTGGGGCAGGGAGGGAAGCGACAGTAAGGGCACATGGCTGCGACCAAGCTGGCTGCAGTGCACAGACACGTGGAGGATGTGGCTGGGTCAGCCTGGTCCCTGGAAGGGCAGAGATGCCCAAACTGGCTCCCTGGGGAGCCCCCAGTGGGTCTGAGCCCCAGCACAGCTCCACAAGCACCCTGCAGAGCTCCCCTGACCCTGCCCCAGGCAGGCACAGCACCCACAGCCAGGTGCTTGGCACCTGCCGCCCCACTGATGGGTGGGCAGAGCCTAGCACCTTTGGGTCCTGCTAGCAACCTGCCCACAAGGAGATGTCACTCTGGTTGGCTCTGCTTGGATTTTGACCTTCTCAGCCTCAGGCCTGGAGGGAAAAGTTCAATTTTTATCACACCTCCTCCCTCAAAGCCAGAAGGGCTTAGGTTAGCCCAAGGTCTTTGTTTAAATGCCAATGCATTTGGGGGCACATTGAAGGCATAAAGGGAGATCTGTATATCCCTCTGCCCCAAAGCAGGCCATGCAGAGGAAGGACAAAAAGCCCTCGTGTGCTGGACCCGCTGGGGTGCTTGTGGGGTTGGGTCAGAGCCCCAAATCCCAGTGCTCTTAGCGATGCACATGACTGCCAAGGTCATCTTGCAGCTAAGGTGATGCCAGGCAGCGCGGGTGGGTTAGGGGGGGAAGAGCCCCTGGCCGGCCCAGAGAAGCAGACTTTGACTAGCCGCCATCACAAAAGGCCCCATCTTGCAGCTTTTGAGGACGAAGGCTGGGAGGGGGACTGCCAGCGGCTGCAAAGGCGATGGCAAAACAAAGAAGCCAGAGGGAAGCCACCAACACACCCAAGCCCAGAATGACCTGAACCTCCAGCATGGAGGGGGACGATCACCCTCCTGAGTCTGGGGTGCTGGGGACTGTGTGGTGGGACCATGTGTCCAAACCCATCCCAGGCACACCGGAGGCATCTGCCGAGGGCTCGGCAGGTTTGGGAGGGTCGAGGCTGGGCACCGAACCAGGAAGGAGGCTGAGAAAGCAGTGGGGCAGCAACAGACAGGCAGAAGCCAAGGCACAGTGAGAGGCCACTTTGGTTACTCACGCGGGGCTGAGCAGGGACTTAGTTGCGCTCTCCGGGCCGAGGGCTCCCTGGAGCCACCTGCCAGCACCCAGCGGCCGCCAGGAGAGAGAAGAAGAGGTTAGGCCGGAGCAGGGCAGGGGAGCGACGTCGCAGAGGGATGGATGCCATGCGCGCGCGAGGCAGAACGGAAGAAGGCAGAGTTGGGAGCGAGGTGGCACGCTGCTGGGCAGCTGGGACCGCTGTCCTACGGGGAGAGGGAAGGAAGGGCAGAGAGGGATGCTGGGCCCTTGCTGGGGCATTTGCAGCCCGTTTAGGGGCACACACAGGTCTTCCAGTGGTCCCCAAGCCTCTGCCCTCTTTTCTAAACATACCTGGGCATCCTCTGCCCAGCTCTTCTGCCCCAGCCCTGCACTGAGGGCTCACAGCTTGGCATCAGCATCCCACCCTGATGCCCACCACCACGCCTGGTGGCTCCTGACAAACCTGGCCTGGCTCTACACTGTGGCTCGCCACCCTCGACCAAAGCTCTCGTATTCCCTATGAGACCTTGCTCTGCCAGGGCTTAGGACCTGCTGTCTCTCTGAGCCCTTTATTCCTTCTGCTTACAACTCAGTATTTAGATCTCTCTCGGGGTATTAAACTGCTATTAGTCATTGCTTTCGTAAGCAAAAGCACAGCCGGTTACAAACATCACAGTACTCAGTACCGAAGGTGGGGGAGAAGCAGTTGCTGCCTACCGAACAAGGAGGGTGTGCGACATACGAAGGGGAGCAGGGCGTACGGAGGACTCCCTGCAGCATGTCACCAACCTGCGAAAACTCTGCTGCAGCATCTTTTTAAGGGAAACAGCAGAGGATGCTTCAAGGAACAAAAACCAGGCTCTGATATTTAAAAGAAGAGCCCTGCAATGACGAAGCAGACACTAGAGTTGGATTATTTCCTTTCCCCCAGTTTTCCCTCTAGGCCCCCAAAACACACAAGGTTCAGCCTGTGCTGCGCTCAGCAAAGTCCCGCCGCAGAGCAATCGACAAGTGATCGATCCCTCCCGTGACGGAAAGTGCTGACCCTTCCCGTCGAAGGACCCAATCTAGCATTGACTTCCACGGACAAAGGGATGAGCTAAGACACGGATGTCACAGTGAAACCCTGTTTTGCTCGAATAATATCTGACATTTGAGAGCAAACCTCCGTGCAGTTACTTGCACAGGGCTGTGCAGTGCTCCAAAACACCCCGGACTGGAGGGCCGTGGCCTCCTCACTGCCTCGGAGAGGACCCAGCACCCTGCTCTGGGGCCCCCCATCCTTGGCCTGGCTCTGTGTAAACCTCCCGGGAACGTAGTGAAAACGCCCCCGGCCGGGCCAGCGGCACCTCCCAGAACAGCGCCCGGGCTCTCGTGGTGGGGGAGACGGTGAGAGGAGAGCAGAGGAGGACGGAGAGCCACGGGGCGGTGGGATGCAGCTCAACTGCAGCCCCTGATGGCCGGGCCCGGCTATGGGAAACAGTGGGACCGAGGTCGGCGTGAGGCCGCTTTGAGTTCTTGTGCCACCGCACATTGACACGTGCCGCAAAACGTGCCTGGGCGCAGGGAGGAGCCCAGCGTCACCTCCTTACCTGCCCATACTCCCTCTCGATTGCGGACCTCTGTTTGCTATAGGACCTGTAGGGAGAAGGCACGCAGACAAAGTGAGAGCCCTAGGCGCGCAAGACGGACAGGGCCATCTTCTCGCCATTATCCAGCCCTGGGGTACCTCTTTCCCCCCCAGATCCCTAACCTGAACCACCGATGTCCCCGGGTGGCCTGCCTCACCGTGATGACAGAGCCTTTGACCTCCCTGTCACCCGGGGCAGCAGGCTCAAGGCGAGCCGTGCCTGGAAGGCCGTACCCTGCGCTGGCCCTTCCCTGCCCCACGTATGAAATGAGCTGGCAGGTCTCAGTCCCACATCAGCCATGTGTTGCGAGGACCCTCCCGGCGGCACCGCAGGGCCGGGGGCCGGCTGGCGCGCGC